TTCAAACCCACCAGCCACTCCTTAGAAGGAAGATGGGGCAATCTACTTCCGTAGTGATACTGCCTCGGAAACCCAAGGAGGGGTCACTATGAGTTGGGTCTGACTTGACGGCAAATAACAACAACAACAACAGTTAATTTAGTTGTAGAATTTCAATTTGGATGATTGCTGTGGGTAAGAATATCTGTTCTTTGAAAAGAATGTTTTTCTTTCCAGTGAAATCAGATGACTATGATCAAAATGTTATCTAAAACACAAGCAGAGCACTAAGCATACTGCTGTCATACAGTAAAGAGGTAAGAGCAACTGACAGACGGCCCAGTGGGGAGACTGACACTGGGGAAGATGGATGGCTGGGGCATTCACCTTGGCTTTTCCTACCATTAGGGAAAGCAAAGAAAGAGAGACATCAGCAGTGGAAAAAGGAATGAGCCATATAGTGAAAGAAACCCAAGACAAAAGAAAGGATGGTTGCAGAGGTAGAGCTCAAAGACTTTCAAAAGCAACATCACAGAAACAGAAGCTCTTACTTTAAAGAATGTCTTCTAACTTAAGTGTGAAAATGTCAATTCATTTTACTTTTCAAGGCACAAGGAAACTGTCTTTTTTTAGTAGATGGAGGGTGGACACTAGGCATTTTGATTACCCTTCTTCAGAAATCAAATAAAATTGCTAAATAAAAAAATTATAATTGTCTTAATGAGTTATCAAGACAGTGAAGAAAACTTAAAGACCCCAAACTCAATGAAAGTGGGAATCCTGAGAGGTAAATAAAACACTAGAACAATCTGCCTTGAGAAAATTTTTCCTAGCTGGATAATTTAAGCTTCAGTTTCTGGAAGCCCAAAAGAGCCCTCAAAAGGTCCCATTCTCATTGCCAGAGTGAAATAGAAAGAGATCTTGTCTGCTTTAGTCCTCTACAGGTTGTAAACACACAAACATCCAACCCTGGGGACTTAAGGAAATCACCTGTCTCTAACCTTGGAAAAATGATCTCTGAGAATCCCAATTACACGCCAGCCCTCAAGCAGATTTGCAGCTTCAATTCACACTACCTAGGAGGCCAGGAAAACCTCAAGCTAAATGTGGTCCCAGACTGGCTGTATCCCAGGCAAAAGTAGATGAAAAACCTCTCTGGAGAAATTAACTTGCAACCAAGACCTAAAGAAATTCCCACAGACAAAAAAAAAACCTGACAAAATACATTGGAAAATGAGACTCATTGAGTGAGACCCAACAGAAACAAATTTATAAAGACTTCAGATATTAGAATTATCAGAGATATAATCTGACACATTAGAAAGGATTGATATTACGGATGAACAGCTAGAAACTGTAAAAAACTGAACAAAACACCACTTCACATTTACAAACAACCTACATTAGTAGCTGTTTTTGCTAAATGAAAGAAATCCAAAGAGGATTTTTGCTTTTCTGAAAAATGAAACTAGTGTGCAGTGTTTGTTTTGCAGTATACTGTTAAAGAGGTATGCTCAACACAAGGAGTGACAGTGGTGTTGCCAAGATCCCTCCTGAGAACTACACTGCATATACATTTTTTCTATTTTATACAGGCTGTGCATTTATCACATCACTCGTGCTTTTATTATAAGGTAGTGTTATTTTAGGTTTTATGTATTCTTTGGTATGATTTGGTAGGTTATTTTGGGAGCTAGGAAAGCTCAAAAATTCTTCCTATATTAAGTTAATGGGAATTGCTCCTTCACTTTACACCATTACAGCTTACAAAAAGTTTCATAAGAATGATCTACTTTTGGATAGTAGGGGAAACCTGTAATATAATAATTAAAAATAAAAATTCAATGGATGGCTGTCAAGCAGATTAATCAGTGTAAAAGAACAAAAGAACTTGTGGCCATGGCTAAAAAGTTACTAAAAGAAAATTAATAGCTTACATATTTATATTATTAAAAAACAAAAAATATTGAAAAATAATGTTAAGAATTAAATTCAAGAAGTTAGAAAAAAAACTCTACATATAAAAGTATACAAGTTTATTAGGAAACATTAAGTAAATGGAAATGTAATATGTTCATGGATAGGAACACTCAATATTGTAGTATCAATTATCTCCATACGAATGTATGTAGAATCAATGCAACTGTAATAAAACCCAAAAAGGTTTTCAGAATTTTTGTTTGTTTCTTTTTAGAGCTTGAAGAAGTGATTCTAAAATTTAAGTGGAATTGCAAAGGGCCAAGAATTGTCAAGAAGGACAAAATAAGAGGTATTGGCTTGTCAAATATCAAGATTTATTAAAAGGTATTGAGGCAGTGGTGTAGGGATATACATGCAGATCAGTGAAAGAGAATGGAAAGTCCAGAAATAGACTCACATATAGGCAGCACCTGATTTATGACAAAGATCTGGAGCAGTGGGGACAGGACCACTGGGGCTAGGACAGTTGGGACATTTGTGTATCTATATTAAAAAAAAAAAAAGGGTCCAACTGTACTTTACCTTACACCATACCCTAAAGTAAATAATCCTGGTGGAAAAAAGACCCCCAAGAGAACAGCAAAACCTTAAAGGCTTTAAAAAATATGTGAGAATTATCATTACCTCATAGGACAAAAGGATTTTTTAAAGAAGACACAAAATGAAATAACTATAAGGAAAAGATTGATAAATTCAACAACTTTAAAATTAGATCCTATGTTTAGCAAAAAGACATAATTAACAGAATGAAAAGATAAACTATAGAGTGGGAGGCAATATTTGCAAAGCATATATCCATCAAAGAACATCACCCAGAATCCAAAAACAATTCTTATAAAAACAAACAAACAAACAAAAACCCAAATCAAAAACCAAACAAAAGAGCCCAAAGAACTCAATAGTAAAACGTTAAAAGACTTTGTAGGAATTTTACAAAAGAAGAAATCCAAACATATAAAAATGAAAACAACCTCATCAGTAACCACAGAAATACAAATTGAAATCAGAACCTTAACACACTGACAAAATTGGCAAAGATTAAAATATTTGATAAAATTAAGGGCTGATGAATACATACAACTGGAAGGCTAATACACTGCTGGTGGGAGCGTATACTGTCACACTTAAGGAATAACAGTTATCCTGTGGTTGAAAAATGTTTTGCAGTATCGAAAGGAAGATTGGCAATCTACTTCTGTAGATATATCGCCTGGGAAACCCAAGGAGGGGTCGCTGGGTCAAATCGACTCAACGGCAGTGAGTTTTTTTTTTTTTTTTTTTTTTGGTAAAGTTGAAGACTTGATTACTCCTAGGTATATACCCTAGGTCTGGTGGCATAGTGTGCCTAAGGCATTGGACTGCTAACCAGAAGGCTGGCGGTTCAAACCACTAGCCCCTCCTCAGAAGGAAGATTGAGTGGGCAATCTACTTCAGTAGAGATACCACCTCAGAAATCCAAGGAGGAGTTACTATGAGTTGAATTCACTCGATGGCAGTGAGGTTTTTTTTTTTTTTTTTGGTTTATAGTCTAGAAAAACTACTGCACAGTTGCAGATACGTGTTCTAAAATATTCACGGCAACACTGTTCTTAATGGCAAAATAATGGAAAACACCTCACCTATTCACCAACAATGGGACAGATAAATACAACAGAATATCATTCAGTGGTAAAATAAATATATCTACATACAACAGATATAATGAATTTCAGGGCTATATTATTTAGTAGAAGAAATCATGAAAACTTCTACGACTCAATTTATAGAAAGTTCAAGAAAATGGAAAATGAACTAATAAATTGTTTAAAAATACAAACATATGGTGGTTACTTCAGAAGAGCAAGGAAGGTAATAGAATCAGAAAAGGGAGAAGATAGAAACATCTTTTTTCTAGAAGTTGGAAGTGGTTCTGTACCTTCCACAGAATTTATAAGTATTTTGTATCTATTGAATTTTTATACAAACAATTTTAAAAAAAGGATACAGAAAATGAGCACTGGGGCATACCATCTTCACTGGTGTGGGGCTCTGTGCCAGCATCCTGATCCACTTCCTCCAGGGTGCCATGCTCACTGTATGGGCTGTCACTGTGGAGCAGAAATGGAAATGGATATGAAGGTGAAATGAATGGAATTTTAAAGAAATGAAAAATTACTACTGTAAAGGACAATCTAAGACTTTGGAATGGGCAAAGAATTACTGGGTATCTTTGAATGGAATGGAATGCTGGAGACTCCAGTGATTATCTGGTCCTATAGGAGCTCTGGTAGCATAGTGGCTAAGACACTTGCCTGCTAACCAGACGGCTGGCGGTTCAAACCCACCAGCCACTCCTTGGAAGGAAGGTTGGGCAATCCTACTTCCGTAGTGATACTGCCTCGGAAACCCAAGGAGGGGTCGCTATGAGTCGGGGCCGACTCGACGGCACATAACAACAACAACAATAGGAGTAGTAGTGTCATACCTAAGGCACTTGAATGCTAACCAGAAGGCTGGCGGTTCAAAACCACCAACCACTCCTCGGAAGGAAGGCTGGGCAATCTACTTCCATAGTGATGTTATTGTTGTTGTTGTTGTTATGTGCTGTTGAGTTGGACCTGACTCATAGAGACCCCTCCTTGGGTTTCTGAGGCAGTACCACTATGGAAGTAGATTCCCCAACCTTCCTTCTGAAGATACTGGCTCAGAAACCCAAGGAGGGGTCACTATGAGTCAGGTCCGACCCAACGGCACATCACAACAACAACAACAACATAGGAGTGTGTATAACTTTGTCTTTGACTAGGTTATTTTACAATCCTGTAAAGACAGACTTTAACTTACAGAAAATTGATAGCAATATAAGTAATTCCTACCTATAGAAATGCAAATCAGTTGGATCCTGGTGGGATATAAAGAACTCTGGTAGCACAGTGGACAAGGCATTTGGCTGCTACCCAGGTCAGAGGTTCAAACCCACCAGATGCTCTGTGGAAGGAAGATGAGGTAATCTACTTCTGTAAAGACTTATAGCCTAGGAAACCCAATGGGCATCCTTATGAGTGGATTTGGTTCGGTGGGTAAGCCATTTGGCTTCTAATCAGAAGGTCAGTGGTTTAAAGATTTACAGCCTTGGAAAGCCAATGGGGGTCACTATGAGTTGGAATCGACTCATTGGTACTGGATTTGGTTTTTTGGTTTTGGTGGAATATGACTGATTATTGCCCTATGGAAAGAGCAGCTTTTTGCAAATATATTTTCACATTCTTTTACTGCATGTAAGTTGATGGCTCTTTGACTTTTTCTCTTAATTGGTTGTAGCATATTTTCTGGTTCCTTCATGAATAATGAATTAAAATCCCTAATACATGTTTATTTTATACCTGAATGAGAAACATGACTTTATCCTCTTAAAATGTATCTTTTAATGCTAACATCACCTTTCCTCAAATGTATACTGATAAATAGAAAACATGGGTCACAAGCACAAATCCGACATTACCGTAAAAGTCCATTTATATTGCTTTTGCTGGGGGACAAGGGTAACTATTACATTATTGACTTTCTACATAAAATGAGCATAATGAATACTACATATAGGAAGAAGGACCGAATGAAGGACATGTTATTGGCTATAACACTCTTTATTATAGGGTTTTTACCATTTGTAAAAAGTAGCAGCCACAGAAGGTCCTAGAGTATAATGCATCAAATCGTATTGGTCAGACATCTGTATTCTTGCTCTTTGATAAAATGAACAAGACAACAGGTTTCGTGATTTAGACTGGATATCTGGAAACACTAAATATGCCTTAGGAGTCCCTTGGTGCTGCAGGTGGTTAACACTCTCAGCTGCTAACTGAAAACGATTGGAAGTTCAAATCCCCCCGAAGCACCTCAGAAGAAAGGCGTGGAGATCCACGTCAGAAAAAACCAGCCACTGGAACCCTATGGAGCACAGTTCTACCCTGACACATACGGGTTGTCATGAGTAGGAACTGACTGTTGGCAACTGATTTAAATATGCCTTTGACACTGGCCTTGGAACAAATACAACTATGAAAACAAAATTATGTGTCTCAGTAGGTCTGAGTTTTATTGGTCTGTCTTCCCAAAGGTGTCCCTGGGTAGTGCAAATGGTTAATATGCATGGCAGCTAACCAAAAGGTTGGAAGTTCAAGTCTACCCAGGAGCGCTTTGGAAGAAAGGCCTAGTGATAAACTTCTGAAAAGTCAGCCTTGAACACCCTACGGAGCCCAGTTATGGAGTATGTTAACTGTCTGCACCACTTAGGGATGATGATGGAGTAGAAGGGACAGGATTGTAGGTGAGGTTTCCACAATAAGAAACTAGTCTTGTCACACATCTTACTATCTTTAACTTATCTCAAATGTTATTGCTTCTTTTTTGTTTTTCTTTCTTTTTAAATTGGAATAATTTGGTGGCCTATGGTCAATTTTTTTTCCTAATTAAGTTACTGTCTGTACCTCCATAATTTTTCAGACGAGGGACTAAAACTCTTAGACTTACCAGTAGTCATCTCCAGCCATGCATTTCTCATAAATAGGACCATCCAGCTCTTTAGCATCTGGGAAAATAGTCTCGTGGTGGATAATGATGGTTTTGACAATTTCATTCACATGAGCCTGGCAAGAAACCTGATCCTGTATTTCTGGGACAGGCATCAATGTTGGGCCAAAGCAGATGGCCAGGTTATAAGGGTCCATCATGTTCTCATCACTGTACTGTGAAAGACTATGAAAGGAAGCAAGAGAGGAGTTAATAAAAGAGCAAGAGGGAGAAGAGAGCAGATGTCTAACAGATACTTCATATCCAGAAAATAGAGAGCTAAAATATTGATTTCATTTTTATTATTAGAATAAAATAATATTCTATCCTACTTTAAACTGATAGTGAATCCCAAGGAAAGTAAAGCAAATTTTGGTCTTTAAATGAAAACTGAAAGTGAAATATAAGTCCTATTTGCTTAAAATTACGTGGTATTTTTCAAAACCACAGAGAAGTTGAATACAATATCCACTACAATGGGGGCCAAGATCAAGTAAATGCGCTTCATTTGTAAACATTATGGTCAGGTTCTAAACACTGCTTAAGTGTGTCGGGAGGGACGGGAACAATCTCCATAAAGCTTTATGTTGTCTTTGAAGTTGTCTTCCTACACTCAAAAATATTTCAGATTTAAGTTGTAAATCTTAAAGAATGCCTAAAAGAAGAGAAAGCAAAGCACCTTTTCTTTGTAACCACTAAGAGAAAGAAAATAATAATTGAAGGCTAAAGCACTTGACTGCTAACCAGAAGGCTGGCGGTTCAAACCCACCAGCCACTCCTCGGAAGGAAGGCTGCGCAATCCTACTTCCATAGTGACACTGCCTCAAAAACCCAAGGAGGGGTCGCTATGAGTCGGGGCCGACTCGACGGCACATAACAACAACAACAACATAATCTGCTTTATAAGACTTTTAAGACTACCAAAATGAGGCAACAACCAGTATCACAAAAGATATTATAAAGGCAAGAGAAGGAAAAAGACTCCTCCATTGTTTCATTCCATTTAAAGCTGGCAAAGTACAAACTTTGGGGAGATTTCCAGTTGACTAGCATGAATTTCTGAATTCAGTCCACTGGATATTTGTGAGATATTTTTCACAAGTGACTCAAAAGAAGCCAGCTCTTTATTACTGTACCTCTAACACATGGGGAAGGAGCTGTTCTAGGGAGACTTTACAGATGCTATCATTCAGTGGATAGAGTGTCAGTCTTGAAAGGAAATGTCAAATCCAGGTGAACAGGTGACAAATGGAAGGAGGAAAAAGAAGGACTCAACTACTTTGTCAGATGGTGACAGAGACAAAGAACTTGAGATATCATGTGGCATGATACTTTAACCTTTTTTTGGAAATAAGATAGTCTGGAAAGTAGGAAATACAAAAGCATAATTTCCACAGCTAACATATGCCTTTCCCTTCTGCCATTTCTCAAACATACCATCTTAAAAAAAAAAAAAAGTTCACAATAATAGCAAATGATTATGTTACAGATCAGCTTGAAAACAGATACAGGAAAGAGAAGTGAGTTTCAGAGCAAGGTGGTCTAATTTCCACAAGACACACTTAAGTTCAAGAGAAGAGTCACAGTTAATCTTTCTGGCTCTTTAGTGCTGGCTTCAAAAGCACAAACTTGATACAAAAGTGTTATTTCTAAATTTCAGTTTTACAATGTAAAAAGAATAGTGTACTCTCTCTTTATAGTGTCCTTGTCTCTAGATGAAGGCAAGTATGGGGAGCCAGGAGCATCTTATGGCGGAACCTGGAAGCAATGCCAGCCCTGTGATTCAAGGTGCCTTTGCCATTTTGTTGAGATCCATGGTTAGTTCAGGTTTGCAAATTTTCTTGTTTAGCAGTCTGCTTTCCTAGTCTGTTGTTTTACTGGTTCACCACTGTGGGTTGTACCAGTGTACAGGTGTGTCAATAAAATTTGGTAGAGATAGCGTGGAGAGGGCCGTGCAAGGCACTCCATATTGGAAAAGGGGAGGGGTAATGGGCAATTAAAGGCGAAGACAGTGAGCCTCCAATTTTCACAACTACCTGAGTGAACAGTCCTTTGCTCAATTAAAAGTGAAAATTTACGGCATCTATTTAAGTAAAACATAATTACACCCATTCCCCTGGACACTGCTTATTATTCAGTGGTAATTTCTATACAAATGGGTTCCTACTGTCATTTGTGATTATTTTGGTCAGCAGGATAGTCTCATTCTGTATGGATCTCTGCCAGCACTTCACAATTGTATGACACTGGTTCATGGGGTCAAACTGAGTGAATGTGATTTCAGGAATAGTCAGCTGGGTTGTAATAAATTCCCATGGCTTTGCAGAACTCAAAACCTCCTGTGAAATACATATAGATAGGTATCTGCCATCGAGCTGACTCTGACTCATGGCAACCTTATATATGACAGAACAAAATATTGCCCAGTCTTGTGTCATCCTTGTGATTGCCAGCATGTTCAAATCCACTGCTGTGCTTATTGTGCCAAGGGTCTCCCATGTTCTTGCTGGCCCTTAACTTCATGTTCTCCTCCAGTGACTGTTCCTTGCTGATGATGGGCGCTAAGCAAGTGAGTTGAATCATCTTCTGCTGTGATCTATATGGTTTTCACTGCCTCATTTTTGGGAGCAGATCACCAAGCCTTTCTTCCTAGTCTGTCTGAAAGCTCCATGGAAATCTGTCCACATGGGTGACATTGCTGGTATCTGAAATATCAGTGGTGTAGCTTCTAGCATTACAGCAACACAGAAGCTACAACAGTACGACAAGCTAAAGACAGGTAGTGGTCCAGTGAAGCAGGGAGAAGACAACCTTAATTTTAGAAAGGAGGAATCCAGGCTAGGACAAGAAGATTTTCCCCCTTACTTAATAAATTGTCCCTGAACTTCTTCATTTCTTACTGCTTAACTGAAAAGTTGAATGGCAAAGGAACTTGAGGACAGGACTTGGGGAAGATACTCTTACAATGGAGCCTATATTCAAGAAGTAACATAACTATAAATCAGGCTGCCTAAATTAAGAATATAGTTTCTTTGAGAAATCAGTGTAGTATTATTAAGATTTCTGCTACATTGTTTTTGAGAATGTTTAACAAACTTTTTCTTCTTGACAAAGTCTCATTATGTTGAATTTGCAGGACTTCTTTTTTGGATCTGTGATGAATCTCATCTGGAGTCCCACTGTTACCTGAGCTCTGATTTAAAAATGAAAAATCTCAGACATTTTATGCAGTGAGGATGTGGTTTACATCATTTTGACAAAAGCATTCATGACAAGCTTCAGATGAAGGTTGAGATACACATATTTCATTGAAATGTACTGTCTTAGCAAGATCTGGGTAGTTTTGCATTTATGGCCACAGCTTCTTGGGTACAGCTTTCATCTCTCATACAATAATAGCCTTGATCTGGGGAAGAAAGAATGTACCTTCAGTCTATAGTCAACCATTTTCTCTCTGACACTGCTGATAAATGGAACCCAAATGTACATTTCACAGGATCCAAGAACAAAGACAGAATTCATAAGAAGTGCAAATGGAATTAAGATGAGGATTGTGGCAGAGGATTAGGGTACTTACTGGTTGAGGAAGGCAAAGAGGTACCTCATCACTATAAGGACGGACCTGGGCAGGGTCAGAAGAAGTTTACGGATGTGAAGTGCCCTCTCATAGAGATTATCTATTCCTACAGAAAGAAGACAATACAGTCAGGATCCTTTCACTTGCCCCATTTAAATAAGAACATGTAGTACACATATTACAGGTATACATCAGCACATGAGCAATGCAACTGTAACCAATATAGTGAATAAGCGATCAGCTGGTGCAGACCCCTATTTCTGGGGTCTCCTCTGACCCATCACTGTTTTCGTTGACTTCCATGGTTTTGGCTTGAGAAATTTAGACATTTCCAGATGTAAAAATCATTTTTCATTTGCTGCTATTTCTAAATACTGCCTCTGAAACAGTTTCATTTCCTTTTTGTTGCATATTAACTAAAGTAGCTTCTTGGGGGCATGGTTCCTCTCCCCATATTCATTAATCCATCATATATTTATTTGACTATTACTATGCTCCAGACACTGCACTAAATTTGGAAATCTGAAATCTCTCCTTCTTCTAAATTACAATAGCACTTTATTTATATGACTTTTTTCTTTTTTTCAAACTTTGTGTTATTTCATTAATCCTTTAAAAATTAAGAGGGCCTGCTAAGGTCTCAAGCACTGGGTTAGACATTAGGGATACATTAATACAACCCTGCCCTCATAGAACTTACACCCTGGTGATGACCATTTTTTATTGTTAAGTCGTGTCTTCTCTGGTGGATGATAGACTCCCTTAAGAGAAGGGTGCCTGGGACTTCCAAGTATTATTTTACCTCTTTACTAGGAATACAAATGGTCCAAGGCTTCTTAATACTAAGGTGATCATGAACAGTAGCAAAAATATAAGTTTACTACTAATAATTCCTTATTTGTATAATGTTATCTATTTTATGACACATTTTACATTTGTTCTTCAATTTAATGTGAATAATACCACTGTGGAGTAGGCAGGGAATATACTGTCAACCTTATTTACTGGGTTAGGAAAATCCCCATTTAGTGGATTAGAGCCAGAGAGGTGAAGTGGCTTACCCAAGGTCAGCTGGCTAGCTAGACTGGGTGGCACTGTAACAAGAACCTATGTTTTCTAAGTCTGTTTGTCTTTCTTGGATTTCAAAGTACCTTTATAAAGTATAAGTTTGAATATACCCTGCAAGCACACATTTGAGAAAATATTTCAGAGAGAAGTAATATGAGATATTTGAAAATATTTTGAGGCTTCCTGTAATTACTCACTATACTTGTTCTTAATTGTTAAGATATTCTTGTATCCTACTTGAAAATTTCAGTCATTAGCTCCTAACATCTTAGTCAAGTGATTCTCCTACTTCTCCTCAGGATTTTACACATTTTTCCATCCATAAATGTAGTTATCTCTCAAAGATCTCTACCCCTGTTCTCTTCAATGACAACCATCATTCAAGGTCATGACCATCACTTCTATGAAGATAGTACCTTTGCTTCACTTTTCTCCTTTGTGTGAGAGTTTAAGTCTTAATGCTTATATCTCTGAGTATTTCACTGCTAATTTCCTAGTTGAGGCTTTTATCCTAACCTGGACCATCATTAATATTCTCCTAACTCAGTTTTCCTTTCCAATGCTTCTTAAACCAATGTTTTCGAATGTTGGCTTGGAACCACTTGGGGAGATTTTTTTTAAAAAAATGCTGATGGTCTAGATTCTTCCATACAGCCAAGGCAGGGAACTACTGCTTTAAATATTCATGCCAAGCTTATTTTTCTGGAATCAAGAGTGCTGACCCCAGTTGCTTTCCACTTATTATCAAACTACCAGGCTAACTGGACACTTTATTTTTTCCTCTACACAGCTGAAAAGATGGGGAAAATATATTAGGGTTATTTTCACTGAACCACTGATAATTTGCAAAACAATAAATAATTTATCACCAATATCATCACGTTTCCTGGGAAAACCACGTCCATTCCCATATGTGAGTATGCCATAGCTTGAACTTTATCTCTGTCACCTCTTAGAATGTACATAAAACAGCATCATATAGTTAATATTCCTATTAACATTTTAAGTGTTTCAGTATCAACTTACAATAACAGTGTAATTTCAGTAATATTGAAATGGATATGTTTATATTCTGCCTTATTACTTGGAAAGTATTTTAAAATAGAAAAATAAAGTAACACTATGAACTAGGTGGCGGTTCAAACCCACCAGCCATTCCTCAGAAGGAAGGTTGGGCAATCTACTTCCGAAGTGATACTGCCTCAGGAACCCAAGGAGGGGTCAATATGAGTCGGGTCCGACTCGACAGCACATAACAACAACAACATGAACTAGGTAGGTTACTCACATCTACTGGCTTGTTTAATAACCTTTCCAGGCAATGATAATTTTCTTTTTTTTCTCCTGAAAAGAGGGAGTGAGGGGCATCAAAAAAACCTAGCCAAAACAAAACAAAACAACCACCACAAAACAAAACAAAACAAAAACCCCAAAAACAAAAAAGGGTAACATTCAGGCCACCAGAAGTCAATAATTAAGTTTTCAACATTTCTACCCAGTTCAGTTCCAGTGTCCCAGCAGGATCAAAACATGACACAAAACAAGCTGTTTATTTTCCATGACAATGTCATGGGAACCTTGGGGAACCCACACTGTATAGAGAAGAAAGATGAAATACTTACTGATGAAGTAATTTGCAAGTCATTGAGAATTTAATGAGGTGAATTTTAAATGTATATATGTTGTTTATTTAGGCATAGCTGGGTTATTACTTCATACCCGAAATTAACTAGTTAAAACTATACTAACTGAAACATCTGATTTTTTAAAAAGTATAATTATTGCTGCTTTAACTTAAAAGAGTAAAAAGATGATTTCACAAGCTATGTCTTGAATATCTATCACAAAAAATGAAAAAAACTCTCAAAGATGAAATTATATTTTAAAAGTAAACATTGAGACTAAGTAACATTTATTCCCTTGCTCATTAAAAAAATGTTTGCATAAATTCATGCCTCAAGCCAGTTTCAAAGTTCAGTATACTTATATAAATACTAAATTGTAAAGATGAATTGTCCCATTAAAGGTCCCCTGGTTAGCTATAATCTCTACTCTTTCACAACCACATATAAAACCAAAAGGGTTATAATTAAAAACAAAACAACAACTTCTGCTGTTTTTGTTTTTTTCATTTTTATTGTGATTTGGGTGAAAGTTTATAGAGCAAATTCATTGTCCACACAGCAGTTCACATACACTTTATCTCCTGGTGTTGTCTGCAATTTCCCACAATGCAAAAGCTCTCTTCCCACTTCCTCCCCATAGTTACCTCTTCCCTGTATCCTTCCCTCTCATGTACTCCTGCCTTCAGAACTGTCTCCCTGTGCATGCACAGCCCTTCTGCTCTCCCATGATTGATCTCTTGAAGGAGTGTATCTACCTAATGTAAATGTTCAGCTCATCTGCCTGTCCTTTGTTTGGCTGGAAGTTCAATTCCAGACCTGAAGGGCAGCTAAGGGCCATAATCTCAGTGGTTCCATCAGGCTCTATCAGACCAGTGATCCTGGTCCCTTTTTTTTTTTTTTTAAATGATTTTGAGTTTTGTTCCACATTGTTCTCCCACTCAATCCAGGATCTCCTACACAGATCCCCCTCTGAGTGGTGGACAGTGGTAGCTGGGCACATCTGGGGTCTTTTAAGAGTTAAGACTATTGATTCTCCAAGGTAATCTTCGAGGTAAACTTACCAAAACCAAAACCAAACTCACTACCGTCAAGTTGGACCCCACTCATCGCGACCCCTCCTTGGGTTTCCAAGGCAGTATCATTACGGAAGTAGATTGCCCAACCTTTCTTCAAACTTATCAGGGAGAGGGTTTTAAGAACTTAAAGGTAGTTTGGGGAGGAGCCTCTAGAGGTTTTAAAAATACATAAAAATAAAAAGAAGGGAAAGTGGAAAGAACAATTCTTACTATATTATTAACATTATTTAATGCTTGTCAACTCCCATGGGGGCTAGTCACACTACAGGCTAGAAGAGGGCATGGGCATTGCTTCCAAGAGGCTTAACCTTAATTCAAGATCCTCTAGTTTCTCTCTCTCAGTTCTAAACTTAGTCCCCCAATACCTTCAAAGGCAGTTTTAAATTTCTATCTAAAAAGTACTGGAAGGATTCAGCCATAAAGAGAAATGAAGTTCTGATACATACTATAACACAAATGAAGTTTGAAATCATTATTGCATTGAGTGAAATAAGTCAGTCACAAAAGGACAAATACGATCTGATCTCACTGATATGAACTAGGCAAATGTTCAGAGACCAAAGCTTATTAGTGGTTACCAGGGGTAGGAGGGAGGGGAAAAGGAAGAATCATGGCTTAGAAGGCACTGAGTTTCTGCTAATGGTGCTGGAATAATTTGGAAAAGGACAGTGGTGATGGTTGCATAACACGTTGAACATCATCAATGTCACTGAATTATACATGTAAAAGCTGTTGAATTGAAAAATTTTAAAAATATGTATTTGTATCACACACACACACATATTGGAGGACCTGTGAGATACAGCTAAACATATTCAGGAGAAAAAAGCAACAGGAATGTAAATGAGTGAAACCAAAACACTAGTAAAATTATGTGAGGCAGGCGCACATTCTCTGCAACTACAGTAAACATAAATCAGAGCAAAGCGGAATTGCTGGCATTCCTGAAGTAGCAAATCTGTCTGTCCCAGAGGCCTCAGAGCATGATGGCTGTGAGTGGCGCTCAGAATTTTACCTCCACAGGCTTGCAGCCTACATCTTACAGAAGTTTTGCTCTAGTACAAATGATTCATTTACTTTCCCAAGCCCAGTTAGCAGGTCAAAATTTATGGTTGCTGTTGGCGCTCTGGCTAATGTACATTTCTAGCTTAGTATGAGTGTGGCAATTCAAGGTCTTTCACAATCCTTGGTTGGATGAAAAGATGGATCTTTTCCTCCTCTCAGAAAAGTTGTCAGTGAGGAAAAGCAGTATTTCATTTGGGTTTCTTTTCAACTGGGCTTGGTTTCCACAATTCAGGATCTCATGTAATTAAGTAAAAGTGGTATTCATCCAATCT